TAAATCAATAAGATTTTTTTAAAAAGTTGCGAACTTTTTTTTTTATATTATCCAAAATTCGCGATTTTGATTGGTCACTCAACAATTACAAGGGTTAAAATTTTGTGTAACCAGGACGGTCCCACCCGAAGACTGTAATAGATCAAACTAACACAATCAAATCCTCCATAATTGGAGTTTTGATAAATCAAGATGTTTATGAGGTTTGGATGCCAAATATTTCTTTGGAAAAATAAATACCAGTAAGTAATTGTATCCTTACTTATACTTATGTAGTTGTGATTATTATTCCAGTTATATTCATCAGCATCTTCAATAGAACAATAATCTTTGCGATATCATAATATCCAAGATAATAGGTTGATTAACATGTATTTCACATATTGTTTTCGGTTCTTATCAACTCTTTGAAATCTTTGACTAAAAGTTTTAAGCTGTTTAGAAACACCTTTGGCTTCATAACAAAATTCGGAAGTATCGGACTCCATTTTCAAGATAAAAGATAAAAAAATTATTGAAAGGATGCTTGGGAAGTTTTTTTTAAAAATTTTGTTTTATTGATATAAGCAAAAGATAAACGCGAACTAAAAAGCAATATCGGAAAAAAGGAAGCGTGGGAAATTTTTATTTAGACATTTCGCGCCACCCATAAATCAAATTACGTGATATAAATCACGCGTCCGAGGGGTTCTTATTAACGTTAAAGCTAAACCATATAAAGAACAGTTGATTAAGTTGATTATATAATTATTTAAATAAAATGAAGCCGCAGAAGTTGGTTTTTACGCCGCAGGATTACTGCGACTGCGCATAAAATTTTATGAAACACGTGATACAATTATTTCAGATATAAATATCAGATTTTATAATTTTCTTTCGCTACAAGTTTCGTTTGATCTATTTGATCTATTTGATCTAAAAATTTCAAGATGTCCTATTCAAGATTTAATTCTACTTCAGGAACTTCACCTTTTGGTGTAACTAGCACTGCAGCTAGTCCTTTTGGTGTACAAACTTCCTCGACAGCCAATGTTGGTTTTAATAACTTTGGTAATACTCCAGGTGAGCTTTAATTAAATCCTTTTGATATTGGTATAACTGAGGTAGTGTGTTTGGTACTGTGGCAAAAAATATGTGGCGTTTGGGAATATACTTGTGGTCCTCTTAATTAAAGATAATGTTTCACACCCACGTATCATATTAATTTTTTTTTTTTTTACAGCAACAAGTGCTCCAACATTTGGTGGATTTGGTTTCGGTGCACAGCAATCTTCAACTACTACAAAGCCAGCTTTTGGTTTTGGCGGAGGATCTTTTGGACAAACCGCCTCACAACCGACTGGTTTTGGATTTGGCCAAACGTCACAACCAGCCAGTGGATTTGGCAGTGGATTTGGACAAACCTCACAACCTTCGGGATTTGGATTTGGTCAGACAACACAACCATCGGCTGGCGGATTTGGATTTGGACAACAACCACAATCTACTACCGGATTTGGATTTGGACAAACGGCTACCACACAGCAAACTGGTTTTGGCTTCGGCGCGTCCAAACCCAATGCATTTGGTAGTGGGTTTGGACAAACTTCACAGCCCACAGGATTTGGATTCGGACAACAACCACAATCTACCACTGCCGGGTTTGGATTTGGACAACCGGCTACCACACAGCAAACTGGTTTTGGCTTCGGCGCGACAAAACCCAATGCATTTGGTAGTGGATTTGGACAAACTTCACAGCCCACAGGATTTGGATTCGGACAACAACCACAATCTACCACTGCCGGATTTGGATTTGGACAACCGGCTACCACACAGCAAACTGGTTTTGGCTTCGGTGCGACAAAACCTAGTGGATTTGGTGGATTTGGACAAACCACACAACCTACAGGATTTGGATTCGGACAGACAACACAGCAAACGGGATTTGGCGGATTTGGTCAAGCAACACAACCCACGCAACCTACAGGATTTGGATTCGGACAGACAACACAGCAAACGGGATTTGGCGGATTTGGTCAAACATCACAACCCACGCAACCTACAGGATTTGGATTCGGACAGACAACGCAACCAACGGGATTTGGATTTGGTCAAACATCACAACCAACAGCCGGATTTGGTGGCTTTGGACAAACGTCACAACCCACAGGATTTGGATTCGGACAACAACCACAATCTACCACTGCCGGATTTGGTTTTGGACAATCTAAACCTAGTGGATTTGGATTCGGGCAGACATCACAACCAACAGCTGGATTTGGTGGTTTTGGACAAACGTCACAACCCACAGGGTTTGGATTCGGTCAAACATCGCAATCAACTGGTGGATTTGGTTTTGGACAATCTAAACCTAGTGGATTTGGATTCGGACAGACATCACAACCAACAGCTGGATTTGGTGGTTTTGGACAAACGTCACAACCCACAGGATTTGGATTCGGCCAAACATCGCAATCAACTGGTGGATTTGGTTTTGGACAATCTAAACCTAGTGGGTTTGGATTTGGTCAAACATCACAACCAAGTGGGTTTGGATTCGGACAGACATCACAACCTGGAGGTGGCTTTGGATTTGGACAAACCTCGCAGCAGGGTGGCTTTGGCTTTGGACAGTCGTCGCAACCTAGTTTATTTAATTTCGGTCAGGCCTCACAATCAACGATGCCTCAGTTAAATCTTGGCGGCTTTGGATTGTCAACTCAGCCTGGCGCTTCAATTGGTACGTTATATTTTAATTAATTTTTATAATTTTTAATTTTGGGAATGAATATTTTATTTTAAATTAATTCTTAATATGCTAGTTGGTGTAGGTGCCGGTTCTTTGCAACATAGTTTAATCACAACAAAACCAAGCAAGTATTTTTCTTATTTCGCAAAAGTTTATTGCATATGTGGCTTCTTCAATAGAAACGCACCATCTTACTTAATAATTTATTGATATATGGTGCTTTTCTATTGACGAAGCCCATATTTGAGCTTATCACTATTTTGTTTTGGGAGACGATAATATTTTAATTGATAAGTGGTCTGCAATAGCATTTTTTATATTTATTAGTCAAACCGATAATAATTCTGAATTTTTCATATCTTAACAGATCAACAGCAATTACAACATCGGACACCTGTGCAAGAACTACATGAATTAATGAATTCTTGGAATATATACAGTCCTCAGTGTCAATTCATTGTAAGAATACCTATTTGAAAATGATCAATGCTATTTTTATAGTATGCAAATAACTTCTAATCTCTGCTATGATTTCTGGCAGACTTATTTCTTTAATCTAGCAAATCCCGGTTCAGCGCAATATTTCCAACCACAACAACAGCAACGTTGGACACAAGAACTTTGGGAGGAAGCACAAAAGCATAACTTGGATAAAACCATGTAGGTTATTAACGTCATCTTATTAATAACGAAACGTGGTTTATAATAATCTAACGTTCAAACATTATTAGAATGATGCCAATTGTAGCTGTTGGATTCGAGGACTTTAAAAAACGGATTATTGACCATTTAAATAGTAAAAACGATATTTCTGCAAGATTAAAGGTAAATTTTAAATTTAATGTCTTTTTTATTATTTTTTTAAGATTTTATCTTATAAATAAGCATTGTAGGATATCGGAAATAAAATCGAGTCAATACAAATTAAACATAACCTAGAAACGACAGTGAATTTGGAAAATCAAAAACGGAAACATATGGAATTAACGCAACGAGTTATTAAGGTATTTTATAATTAAATTTAATAAAATGCTTAAGAAGCTTAATGATTTAAATTTATTATCTCATTTCAAATCATAGCTGATGAAACGAATCCAAGTAGTACGTCTCAGAGGAACTTTGATTCGTTCAGGCGAAGAACAACTTAAAGGTCGTTTAGAAGAAATCAAACAAAATTTGTTAATGCCGATGGTTAAACTTGAAGACATTAAGACAAAATATAGTATATTGAAATTACATTGGGATAATCGAGAACCATTAGTAGCTCATAAATATAACACTGTTGATGATCATCAATTAGAAAATATTGTAAAGGTAATTATTGTTTTTGTATATTATTAAATTTTTGATTGAGGACAACGCTAATCATATTTCCCCTTTCAACTCTTTTTTTTATTAGGTTCTCGGTGCTGAACAAACAGGAATAGTACACGATATTGATACATTAAAGAAGGATTCAAAAGATATTGATGTGATCATTAAGAACTTAAATGAAATCGTTAAATTGTAGGAAAAACGGACATGATTTACTTTTTAAGATTGGTATTTTTGAACGCTTGAGAAAAATCATGTATATATTTTTATATAATTTTCAATCAATCAATGTAAATGAAAATTAAAAATATAAAAAAAAATAATAAACTTATTCAATTAAACACTGCATTAGTTGATTGCGCAATACAGTCAACTCTCTCTAAATGCACTCCCTTGGGACCTCAGTGAAAATTTTAAAAAATGTGTATTTAAAGAGGGTGTGCATTTAGAGAGGGTGCATTTAGAGAGAGTTGACTGTATTATAAAAATTGTATCAATCGATTAATCGAATGTCGATTAGTATCACTACACTGGGAATATAGCAAACCTGTACAGCACGGTTAGCATGGTATGTATTGTATGGTGTTTTTTTCATATATGAATAGTATTAGAAATCATATAAGCATGGACTATTTGTTATGAAAAAACCATACATGTTAAAGCATACATACATACATTCAATAAAAAAACCGAACAATACATTGCTAACCGTCTGTGTAATACCCCACTACACTGCATGAGGCAGATGCCGTGATACATTAAAATTGCGCAATTTATAGATTATCTATCTATAAAAAACTTTTTTATATAAATATTGTAAACAAATTTTTTTCACAAAAAAAAAAAATTATTTTATATTTAATACATTAATAACGAAACGTAATGTCTAACGAAGAAATTTTTCTTTTTACTTCAGAGTCCGTTGGTGAAGGTCACCCTGGTAGGTATTTTATTAAAAAAATGGGGTCTATTTCTGATTAATCATATTTATAACTATTGTTCATTTCCTTGATAGATAAAATTGCTGACCAAGTATCAGATGCCATCTTGGACGCCTGTCTTAAAGTCGATCCTTATTCTAAGGTAGCCTGTGAGACAGCAACAAAGACTGGGTTAATTTTTGTATTTGGAGAAATTTCGACCACGGCAAATCTTGATTATCAAAAGATTATCCGAGATACCATTCAACGTATTGGTTATGATGATTCGTCTAAAGGGTTTGATTATAAGACTTGTAATGTGCTTATAGCTATCGAACAACAATCACCAGATATCGCTCAAGGTCTTGTACAGAAAGGTCAAGAGCTTGAAAACATTGGTGCTGGTGATCAAGGTACAAATCAAAGTTATTAATTATTATTCCTAATAAATAGATCAATAAGATTAATCCTTGGTGTATGTCACTTATAATAATTCATTAGGTATAATGTTCGGATATGCTACTGACGAAACCCCCGAGTTAATGCCACTTTCCCTGGTATTAGCTCACAAGTTAAACAAGAAAATGGCCGATCTCCGCAGAGATGGAACTCTTAACTGGTAAGTTTGTCATACTTAAATGGATATCTCATTACCATCAGGAATTCATTTCCTTTGTGTAAATCATTATAATCATTATAATTATAAACATTAGGCTTCGACCAGATTCCAAGACCCAAGTTACTATACGCTATAAGAAAGAAAATGGTGCTTTAGTTCCTCTTGGCGTGGATACAATCGTAATTTCAACACAACATACTCCCGAAATCACTGTTTCACAACAACAAGCTGATTTAAAGAAATATGTCATTAATGATGTTATACCAGCACAATTTCTCAATGATGACATTGTTTATCATTTACAACCTTCTGGCAAATTTATTATCGGTGGGCCACAAGGTGATGCTGGTTTAACAGGACGTAAGATTATTGTTGATACGGTAAGATTTGCTATTAAGTCGGGATTTATTTTCGCGTATCCTTGTATTAACAAAAATAATAATTCAGTACGGTGGTCATGGTGCTCACGGTGGTGGTGCTTTCTCTGGCAAAGATTGGTCTAAAGTCGATCGTTCTGCTGCATATACCGGTAAAATATTTTATTATAATTTTTTTTTTCATTATAATTATTAATTGGTGAAATTATTATTAATATGATTGTTGGATTTATTCAGCTCGCTGGATTGCTAAATCTCTCGTCGCAGCTAAATTGGCACGTCGTATATTGGTTCAGCTTTCTTACGCTATTGGAGTTCCTGAACCTCTCTCTATTTATGTTGATACCTATGGTACATCAACCAAGACAAACTCGGAAATTTTGGATATTATCAAGAATAACTTTGATCTGAGACCAGGTGAAATTGTAAAACAACTTGGACTCCATAAACCAGACGGTTGGAGCTACGAACAAACTGCCGCTTATGGTCATTTTGGTCGAGAAGAGGTAAATTATTCTACTTATTTTATTTGATCTCTTCTAAATATAAATTTGTTAAATTTGCTAAATTGAAAATTTCTTTTAATTGATAGTTCCCATGGGAGAAAGTCAAGAATTTGAACCTTTAATAATGAATAGCGAAAATAGCGAAAATACTAATTCCAACAAAAAAAAAAAAAATTTACATTTCGGCATCACGATTTGGATGTATAGATCATTAAATTATTTATTTATTAATTTAAACTAAAAATTTTGCAACCAATAGATTCTGAAAAGTAGATAGCATAATAAAGTTTTTTTTTTTTTTTCTCTTTTAAAGGAATCAAACTAATATACCGGTATATTTCCGGTATATTTCTTATTCTTTACTGATAAAATTTTGTTGATAGAAAGAAAATACAAAATCGATCATTTCGTAAAATACTTATGCAAATGTTTTTATGTTACCGAAATCGTGTTGAAAAACGTACACATCATATTCAATGAAAGGAAATGCAGATCATCCCTTTTCGTTAACATTCCTTTAGATAATTTCCTCATTTAAATTCTTTTTGAATGACACAACCAATGTAATAGCACGTCTCGGTGTATAATTTATATATCTGAAGAAACTTTCCTTTTTTTTGAAGTCTCGTTTTAATCGCTTGATTTTGTATCTTTAACAGCCAAGGGTGAGAATGCTATTGCGTTTAATATTCTTAACAGATGAAATCCTTAAGTTTTTTTTTTTCTTTGATGAAAAATAATCTTGCGGTTGACAAATTCTTGCGTTAAGAAATTAGTTTTAAAGACTTGAAACTTTTTTTTTGAAGTTTTGTCGATTAAATGAAGCTATTGTATGAATTTCTTAAATAGATTAGAATTCATCATCCAATCAAAAATAAAGGTGATCAGTTTTTATTCGAATATTTTTTTGTTTAAATAATTATTTTCACGGTTATTAAGGGAGGATTCGATGTGTTATTTAAATCAAAAATTTCAGAAAATGTTATTTTAAATTGATTTAACTTAAAGGAGAAAAAAAAAAAAAAAAAAAAAACGAAATTTCATGACCCGTTTAAAATTCTTTGATGAGCTTCTGTCAATTGACATTCTAATAATTTAATTCTATTATCTTTATCTAAATTTTTTTC